TACTGACCACCAAGTTCATTGCTTTAGGCACGATCATACCACCGGTTGAATAAAATTGAACAGGTTTCTATAATATTTAATTAAAAAGTTTTAAATTACCCAATATTCAAACATGGTTTATTTTTTGGAAAAAATTAAAATTTAATCATAACATACATTTGATGCCTTAAATTTATATTGGTGAACCAGACTGACCAGGGCTAGTTTAATCTCCATTAGGGCTAACCTCATGCCCACACAATTTCGAGGTCCCGCACCGAATGGCAAATAGGCGTAGGGATGGTGTTTGACATTAGGAGCCAAAAATCTATCAGGGTCAAACTCATCAGGGTTGGGAAAGTTATCAGGGTCTCGATGTATGGCATATATGGGCACATGAACCAGACGATCTTTTTCAATGGTAATACCGGTGCCCCTGAGCTGGTAGTCCTGATTGGGCACCCGTTCCACAAATATGGCCGCCGGATACAGGCGCTGAGTCTCCTGGATAACTGCGTCCAAGTATTTTAATGTGTTCAAGGAGTCGTAATCCTGGTCATTCTGAGACTATATTTTATAAATTTAATAATATGATAATATATAGCATGCTAAATATTCTTTATGTATAAATCTTTTAAAAAGTATTTGCATTTAAAATTAATATATTACAGAGTGTTACAGTTAAGTATAGTAATATTTTAAATAAACATTAAGTTATTTTATAAAAATTATGTATACGCACTGTAGTCATTTTTTAATTTTTATAATCTACTAATAATTACTAAAAATTTGTTGCTCCACCAATTTGTACCAATTTGTAGGTTATTAAGTTTTTACAATATATAAACATAATATTTAAATAAATATACAGTTTTTAGTGTCAACCTAATTAAATTATTAATAAATAATAAATTCACAACAGATACATATGAGCCAGTCAAAGTCAGACTATGATAAGTCCAAATACAAATACATTAATATGAACTTATATTATACACCATGTGTTAATCATATTGACCAATGTGTTACCTAAAGTTCATTGTAATTCATATTAATGAATTTGTATTTGGACTTATCATAGTCTGGCTTTGACTCATTCATATAGTAATGTTTTAATTAATATTAGCAAGTAATGTTATGGTTTGTGGATTTAATGATAATTATTGGATTATTAGCTAAAAGGTAACATGAACAATTAAAATTATACTGTATCATGTAGTTTTAATACTCCAGTTAATTATATTAAACATTGCGTTCCCCCAATTAATATTGATTAAAAAAATATTACAATTTCTAAAAGTACTCACATTTTGTCGATAAAACTCGAGGACTTCAGTGTATAGTCTTTGTTGGACTGCCGGGTGTTTCGCAATATTATGCAAACATAGGCATAGAGTGGATGTCGTCGTCTCATACCCGGCCATAAAAAACAGTATACATTGGGCTATGATTTCATCGGACGTCAGCCCTATTTGAATTGATAATTTAAAAAGCTATTTCAACATGGTTATATTTGACTAAGCAATTCACGTACTTTTGTCTAACCCTTTAAGCACCGGTATTTCTCTATACTTTTCCGAATTTATTTGATCACCACTTTTATCATCCCTTTCCTCACTATCCACCCTATCCTCCCTATCCATGGAATCCAACATAAGTTGCAAAAAGTCTACTCTTTTCACACCATTTGACTCATTATTTCGCTTTTCGATGATATTTAGCGTAAAGTCTTTGAAAAATTTGGTGACATTTGTATCAAAGATCTCAATCTTGAGATACTTTCCGAGTTTGGGTGCTATATGTAAGACCCATAACTTCAACGGCATATTCCTGTGAAATATTTTTCTCACATTCATTAGTATAGGGTTTGTGTCGTCCGAAAGGGCCGACACTTTTACCCCAAAGTTGACACGAATTATGACTTCCATAGCGTAGGCGCCGATCACCCGTTTGACATCCATTTCGGTATTGTTAGAGAGTTTTGTCAGCATTTGGTCCAGATTTTGGTGCAAGGTGTTTCGACAGTCCACTATTTGTGGTAACATTTTCTTAAGTTTCCCTGTTGCAAATGTGGGTGACATGGCTGTCCGGATCCGTTTCCACTGGTCATCGCGGGTCAGGTGCACCATATTGTCCACCAATGGGTCGGCACCCGTACGGAAGTCCTAATATTTTCACAAAAATGTTAAATTATTTTAAAAATTATTTTGACATTTTAGTAAAATGCTTACTTAGAAATGTCAATATAATTTTAATAAAATTACTGTTTATAAATGTATAGCTATTTAATTAAAAAATATTATGCATATTAATATGAAGACTAAATTTATATTAATTAATTATATAATGTAGTGTAATATTTAAAATAAAATATATTTTTTCAGTTGTATATTATATAACTAATAATTTTACAGATATAATATATATATTCCTGTATATATTATAATTTTCTTATTACTACATTCATGATTATTAATAATATAATTGCTATTATTTATATTAGGATTCAAAACTACTTTTATGTACTGATAATCCTATTATGATTTGTTCAATATAAAACATTTAATTTGGACTTGGTAATCAATTTCAATTAAAATAAATTCCGTACACACTTAAAAATTATACAAAAATACAATAATAATACAGTTTAATGTACTTTTATCTAATCCTAAAACACATAAAATTCATAAAACTACCTTGAACACTCACTTCATGATTATTGTATCGATAAATACAGTATAATACAAACACGACATACCCTGCGGTTATGAAACACATGAAAGTCTTTGACCAAAACATCGCGAATCAAATCGGGATCCGACAGAAAGAGTACGGGTTTTGTGTTCTCATAGATTCCGAATACCTTTCCGTTTTTG